GCCGTGAAGTCCACCTCTTTTAATGTATAGCAATATATAGGTGCCAATAAATGTTTAACCTCTAATATTCGTCCTTTTCTAATGTTGTGAGAGCAATATTGGTCGGGAAGGTAAGGATAACTGTGGTTTTGAATAGTTTTCTATACTGTACATACAAGCTGTAATTTTAACTAATGCTCAAATCTAATCTGTATTTTGGCATTGAAACAGGAAACAGAACGATTGAAGGCTGCGATAGAGAAGGAAATCATACAGGTTGAGGTTGCTCCTTATCTAATTATTGGTTACATCAACATAGTGCATCTAGATTCCAATTTCTTTTATGATTATTTTCCCTGTCAACTCATGTAGACAATGTTTCTCTTTCTCTTTGGAATTCTTTTTTTTTTTTCTCTTTTCAGAGGAAGGCTTGGCCAAATCATAAATCCTTTTCAATAAGGGAACGGGATATATCAATTAAACCTGATCCTGATCGTGTGGAAATTCCCACGGATGGGACTGATGTATGGGAAATTAATCCTAGACATCTGAAGTTCGAGCATAAAGTTGCATCTGGGTCATATGGAGATCTGTAAGTCCGAAATGTTTCCCCATGTCTCTCTTATGTGTATATGTTTGGTACAATTTTATGTAAAGCCTAAATATCATTGTCAACAAAACCAGGTATAAAGGTACATACTGCAGTCAGGAAGTCGCTATTAAAGTCCTTAAACCTGAACGCGTAGATTCAGATATGCAAAGTGAGTTTGCCCAGGAGGTGTACATTATGAGGTAGGTCGGATATTGTTAATCTGTTATTCATAATCTAACATATATTTTATGCTGATTTTGATTGATTGGTTTTCTTAGCATTCATGACATTGGAATTATCATTTCTTTGAGGTCAATAAATTCCTCTCATTTTGTGATTGAAATGGATCCAATCGTTTCCTGATTGGAGAGGAATGAAAGGCAAGGAACATAAGGGATGGTTTACAATTTTGATACGCAGATTTTGAAATGGAGGGAAGTATATAATTGGCTGAATATCTGGTTCCAGTTATAATTAGTGCTCTTGAACGCTTCATTAGCTACTTGTCACATCAAGTTAATTTGTGTCATTGATGAATTTGTTTTTAGAAAATAAATATCCCTCCAAAGTACTCTTATTTTGCTTTCCCCCTTTTCAATGTCTTTTCTCACTTTCTCATTCTACTGATGTGTGGAGAGGTTGAGCTAGCCTGCTTTATACTGAGTTCCATGTTATTAACCTTGATGAACTTTTTCTTTTTTGTGACTCGCAGAAAAGTCAGGCATAAGAATGTCGTACAGTTTATAGGTGCATGTACTAAACCTCCAAGCTTGTGCATAGTAACAGGTGAATCGAATATTTCCCTAAATTTTCTTCTAACCCTATTGCACTGAATAAACCAGCATACATTAGTTATTGGGGTTAATCTGAAGCCATTTTTCTATTTCTTCAATTCAGAGTTTATGTCTGGTGGTAGTGTCTATGACTATCTACATAAACAAAAGGGCACTTTTAGGCTTCCATCCTTGCTCAAGGTAGCCATTGATGTTTCTAAGGGAATGAACTACTTGCACCAAAATAATATCATTCACAGAGATCTCAAGGCCGCCAATCTTTTGATGGATGAAAATGAAGTAAGAACAATTTCTTTCCGGTCTTCATTTTGATGTCATTCATGCTGCACTCGATGTTATTTCGTAATATGGGTTGTTGCAAATTTCTCTAGATTCAAAAGCTTGATAATTGTAGATGTAGTTGTATGTGTAAATTGTATAATTTAAACTCAATTTGTTTTGTTATTCTGAATATGTGCATCTCTCTCACACCACCTTACCCACAGGTTGTCAAGGTTGCTGATTTCGGCGTCGCCAGAGTGAAAGCTCAATCAGGAGTCATGACTGCAGAAACTGGGACATATCGGTGGATGGCTCCTGAGGTATATTCATGGGAATATGGAGATTCAATATGTTAACTGTAGGTCCTGGCATTATCCCATACCACTCTAGCATGTTATTTGGCACAAACCACAGATTACATGCTCGAATATTTGTGGGTTTTGGTACTCGAGTTATAGAAACTAACCTTCAATCCCGTGCACACCGTACACCGTTAGCCTGTTATCATCTGAATATTCTGGCTCCTGTGATTCTAATCAAATTAGTATATTGCTACCAAGTAGTCATTCGTTCTACAAAAACTAGCTGAAAGTTTTTGGAAATAAATAATAAACTCATATTGTCATCTTCTTACTCCAGTTACTTCGTATTGAAGGTTATTGAACACAAACCCTATGATCACAAGGCTGATGTTTTCAGTTTTGCAATTGTCTTGTGGGAGCTGCTTACTGGAAAGGTACGATAAATAAATGGCGATCCACCATTTCTCCCTCTCCCTGCAACATAGTTCCTAGCTTTCTTTTTCCTTTCCTATAAATGATGGCCGTCTGTTTTGCTTGTTAGCTACCCTATGAATTCCTAACCCCATTACAAGCTGCAGTCGGAGTGGTACAAAAGGTACAATTTTATTCCATAAAATTAAGCATATTACTTCCATAAATTAGTAGTCTAATCGGCCATGCATGTTTTTTTCAGGGTTTACGGCCTATTATTCCAAAGCACACTAATCCGAAGCTGGCTGAGTTGCTGGAAAAATGCTGGCAACAAGACCCCTCATGTAGGCCTGACTTCTCTGAAATTATCGACATATTGTTGCAGATAACTAAGGAAGTAAGTTCTATACTTGCTTGTTTGCAGTTTTATATTTACTTAAAAAATAATGTTTCCTTTATTTAATTTTAATACTATTAGGTTATTTATTTTTTAAAATTGTGTTTAAGGTTTTAAAAAGCCACATTTATTAGTTTTTAAAATGTGACTGGGATTTTGAAAACATTTTCAAAAAATAGATAACAAAAATAAATAAGCTTAATTTTGAATCTCTAAAATAATCGAAAGATTATTAAATGTGACCTCGTTTGTTTGATTACAAATTGGACAAATGAATAAAAGATATGTAGCCCAAGTTTCTATCAAATAATATTAGTTAATATTTGGATATTCTTCAATTTAGTTCTTTTAAAAAACTGCTTAATTTTGTTAACAAGAAATTGATGTATAATACGTAATTGACCCATGGAAATTCATTACTTCTAATTGGCAAAATTTAATAATTATCATATCCAAGAAAGTTTCCATTAAAGCATCTAAATAGTAATGTTTTGTTTGCAGGTTGCAGAAGATGGCGACGAACGACGAAAGGAGAAGAGTGGAGGATTACTTTCTGTGTTGAGACGAAACCATCAATGAGAAGTGAAAAGAGAAGGAAGAGCGTTGCCAATTTTACAGTCGCCGTCGTCATCATCACTATGTATAGTAAATTTGCCCTCACCCCTTTTACTTTCCTTCATTTTTTTTTCTTCTATCAATTTTTCTAACCGATTAATTATTTTCCCCCCCCATTGCCGAAGTTTTATGTTTTTTTTCTCATTTCTTCCATTAAACTTTTGATAGTTGTGATGATTCGCAACTTTTATAATAAGAATTTTTAGAAACACTTTTATACAGCTTTTGATTTTTCTCCGTAAGGTCTTTTTCTGGAAGCTTTGTACTTGGCAATACTATATATATTCACTCAATCCTCTCACTCTAAACTAAATTTGAAAGCCATATGAAGAAACCCACTTCTTGACTTGACTCAAAAATAGGTCGCATATTTGCTCCTAAATGAGCCATATTTTTGGGTGAGAAGAGTTGGTTGACAGTCGTTTCTTCACCTTCACTTCTTGACATCATCTAGGCATTCAAGCTAGCAAATCAAATCATGAGTTCTCATCCTCCATGTTGGGAGAGGCATGTAAGTCGGTTGATTTTTGTATCACGGATCTTGGTTTGTGCGGTTTGTGCTATATGACATAGTGTATAATTGTTCAAAATTTTGGTTTATTTAGAGCTTGGAAAATGAAAAAAAAAAAAAAAAAAAAAAAAAAAAAATCAAAATCAAACATGAATTTTGGGCTTAAAATTGTTACTTTTGAGATCAAATCTGATGCACACGAATAAATAAAGAAAATTTGAAATTTAGAGATAATTATAACTTATTCCATATGCCTATTTTGAGGACACTTTTATAACTTAATAAAAAAATCCAAGAGTAAACATGTGATGATGTAACTAGCCAAAAAAGAGAAAAAAAAAAAAAAAAACGTTGTGAAGGTTATCATAATAGAAAAAAATGCACATTTTAGATTAAAAATTAATAAATTTTTAATCAAATTTACGAAACATAGATTTTAGCAAATATTTCGATCATAATAAAAAATAATGCATATGAGACTGGTTGAAACTGTTTTTATGAATGAATTGTTGAGTCTGTAGAACAAATTTAGATGCAGTTGTTGTTTCGTAATGATACAAACTCTATCCATTACTGCCCACTTCGGCACCATAGCATGTCGTGAACAAGAGAGATATACTAGAAATAAACTCCTTAATCATGGGTTGTGTCATGTTGCTTACAATTGAGTGGGCTGATCACAAACTCTATAAATATAAGAGTGATCCAAATCAAAAAAGGTTAAGATGAATATATTATACGCAGTCTTTCACAAACATTTCAAATATATTATTTTAATAGAAATTGAAAGTCTGTCACTGTGGAACGCTTTTCTTTCACGTTCAATTTTGGCAAACACTACAAATTAACAAATTTATACTCCGTTTTTTTAAACATTTATGAAATATTAATATTACAACTTTTGAAAAAATAAAACGAAAAAGGTCGGGATTTTTTAATTGTAATTTAATTATAAAAATATTGAATTAGAATATATATATATATATATATATATATATATATATATATATATATAAAAGCCAAACGGAAACCATGGGCAGTTAAGACGTTACATAACGAAATTATTTGTTTGTGGTGTATGTATTATATTGTTGTTTGTTTGTTTGAAGTTGGAAGCAACAAAAAAAAACTAAAATCCCCCCATGCAAATCTCTCTCCCACCATTTTTACTCCCTTTTCAAATCCCTTTTCCCTCCTCGTCGATCACTCATGGATTCCTTCAAGAAATCTCTCAAACCCAATGGACCTTTCAAGCATTCCAGGAAGATTTCTGCCGGCGGAGCTGGAAGCGAAATCAATCAGGAGGAGCTCCCCATTCTTCTCGATCACCAACCCTCTGATCAGCATAATCGCCTTAAGGTTCGTCGACCAGCCAACGACGGCGAACCTTCTGGACACAGTGACGTCATTCTCAAGGTTGATGATGGCGGTTCTTCGGCTGTCTCAAGATCACAGGAGTCTGCCGGCTATGGCGGGAAGGTTTGGCGGGAATCTAGGTATGACTTCTGGAGTAATAATGATGGAATTGGAACTGGAGGAAGTGCGAGTTGGGCCAGTGGTGCGAGAGCGAGTGATAGTGGTGATAGAAATGAGGGATTTGAATTTGTGAGGCGTGGGAATGGTACGGATGATCCGCCGACGAAGCTGATTGGTGATTTTCTTCTTAAGCAGAAAGTTAGAGGCGAAACGACTTTGGATTTGGATCTGGAAATGGAGGAGTTGCGGCTGGATAGGACTAAAACTCCGATGATGGACTCGCCGTTGAGTCGGGCTTCGAAGGATCTTAAAGTTTCGTTTCAACATGACTCGACTGAAATATCGAGCAATGAATCGGTTCGACGGCGGTATAAAGAGTTCCGTGAAATGCAAGAAGAGAGCAAAAGAGGTCAGCCGTCATGGCATCAATCGCACCATGAACATCGCGGATCTTCCATCTCTGGTGTTCAGAACGACTCTGTTGCTGAAGCTATGAGAAGCGCATCTAACTTGTCTTTTCAGAGCACTCTTTCGTTGCATAGGAAATCTCATTTGCTGAAGGCTAAAGGCAAGTCGAGATTGACAGATCCGCCGGCAGAACCAGACCGGCTCTCCGGCCTCGTTAATAAATCGGGACAGCTCCGATCAGGGTTTCTCGGCAGGACTGACGATGAGGAGGACGACCCTTTTCTGGAGGAGGATTTTCCAGACGATTTCAGAAGGGGTAAGCTCGATGCTCTAACTGTGCTTCAATGGATCAGTTTGTTTCTAATCACTGCTGCTTTAGTTTGCACACTTTCTATTCGTCATTTGAGAGAAAATAGCTTATGGGAATTTAGTATATGGAAATGGGAGGTGATGGTTTTGGTACTGATTTGTGGGCGATTGGTATCTGGTTGGGGGATTGGGATTGGAGTATTTTTCATTGAGAGGAATTTTCTTTTGCGTAAGAAGGTTCTGTATTTCGTTTATGGGGTTAAGAGGCCGGTGCAGAATTGTCTATGGTTAGGCCTTGTTCTAATCGCTTGGCATTTGTTGTTTGATAAGCGGGTTAAGAATCAAACCAACAGCGATATACTCGATTATGTCAGGAAAAGTTTAGTGTGTCTCTTGTTAGGCACATTGATTTGGCTAGCTAAGACCCTGATGGTGAAGGTGCTTGCATCTTCCTTCCATGTGAGCACATACTTCGATCGAATTCAGGAATCGTTGTTTAACCAATATGTAATTGAGACGCTTTCGGGGCCACCACGGATTGAGCTTCAGAAGAGTGAGGAAGAACAGAAGAAAATTGCAGATGAAGTTCAAAGATTACAGAGTGCAGGAGTTCCCGTACCCCCAGATCTAAGGGCAGCAGCTTTATCTTCTATAAAGAGTGGTGAAAGGGTAAGAAGCAATGTGGGGAGCCAGAGAAGTTTGCGTGGAAAAGATCCCAAACTCTCAAGGGTATCTACCAAAAATGGAAGTGAAGGGATAAATATTGACCATTTGCACAAGCTAACTTCGAAGAATGTATCTGCTTGGAATATGAAGAGGTTGCTGAAAATAGTTAGATATGGAAGTATTACCACACTGGATGAGCAGATACAGGGGCCGTCTCTTGATGATGAATCTACTACTACCGAGATCAAAAGTGAACGCGAGGCAAGGGCTGCTGCTAAGAAGATTTTTCAGAACGTGGCTCGGCCCAGGTTCAAGTATGTCGTTTTCATTCATATTCTGCTTCCTTTGTGTGTATATGATCCTCTTAATCACATCTCTATCTATTCCTTTAAGTGAATCGTGTTGTGGATCTTACCTTTTGGTAGTTTTCTCCTTTCCCTTTTCTTTTCTTCCTCCCTATTGATATTTTGCTTGGACATTTGATTCTGATAGTAGTAGGGAACCATTAGGCTCTAATGGAAGCACTAGAAGTTTCGTACCGAATATTTGTAGGTTCAATTTAAAGTTTAGTTCCTTTCATGCTTATATCTATTTGGTTCCTAAACTTTAAGAAGTGTTTAATAGGTTCCTAAAGTTTTGTTCACGATAGTCGCATAACGTAGTTCTTTCAAAATGATTGCAGGTACATATACCTGGACGACTTAATGCGGTTCATGAAAGAAGAAGAGGTTCTTAAAACACTTAGTCGCTTTGAGGGAGCAACTGAGAGCCGGAGGATAAGCAAGTCTGCCTTGAATAATTGGGTGGTAAGAATGCAGAACTGGTTTCAGAAAACGTTCCTTGTTCCTTCTCTTTTGTTAGTGCCATTGTCATTACTACTAATAAATGAAGTTTTTGTGATAAAGAAGTGGCTGACATTGAGTGCTATCTGCTATGAATTTAGTTGGGAAATTCAGTTCTACATTCAGATAATGAAAACCATTGTAGCCAGAAGTTTTAATGAGCTGCCTGAAATTATGCCTCAAAATGGTTTAAATGTCAGGTCTGAAATACTGTTTAGGAATCACGACCCTCCACAATGATATGATATTGTCCACTTTGAGCATAAGCTCTCATGGGTTTACTTTTGGTTTCCCCAAAAGACCTCATACCAATAGAGATAGTATTTCTTACTTATAAACTCATGATCAACCCCTTAATTAGCGGAGTTGGGACTCCTCTCCCAACAATCCTCAACATACTGTTCATTCTGTTTCGAATCTAGTGTTTTCGTGTTTTAGTGTTTTAGCATTTTTGCCTCCTATATTTGACATCACGATACATCCTTCTTTTCCAGGTCAATGCCTTCAGAGAACGTAGAGCCCTTTCTTTAACACTGAATGATACCAAAACAGCTGTTGATAGACTTCGCCTTGTGGTGAATGTCATATTCAGCATCTTTATATTAGTTTTATGGATTATATTACTAGGAATTGCCTCCAGAAAAGTCATCCTCTACATTAGTTCTCAAATAGTGCTTGCGGCATTCATTTTTGGGAACACTCTAAAGAACATATTTGAAGCAATCATCTTCTTGTTTGTCATGCATCCGTTCGACGTCGGAGATCGATGTGAAATCGATGATATTCAGGTGTGCTCATTTTTTTTGTTTTTTAACATAACATAACTATTGTTCTTCTGAACCTTGGACCTTATATTGCCATCCCAATAAAAGTGTAGATGGTTGTAGAGGAAATGAACATCTTGACTACTGTGTTCTTGAGACACGACAACCTGAAGATTATTGTCCCAAATAGTGTTCTTGCAACCAAAGTGATCCACAACCACTACCGTAGTCCCGACATGGGCGAATTTATTCAAATCTGTGTCCATATAATGACGCCACTTGAGAAAATTACGGCCATGAAACAGAGAATCATAAGGTATGTTAGCTGTAATGTAAAGAATATAACATTGCTTCCTGCCTGTGTGACATAGACATAGAATGTGATATCCCACGTTGGTTGGGAGGAGAATGAAACACTATTTATAAGGGTGTGAAAACCTTTCTCTAGTAGACGCGTTTTAAAATCTTGAGGGGAAACTCGAAAGGGAAAGCCCAAAGAGGACAATATCTGTTAGCGGTGGGCTTGGACCGTTACAAATGGTATCAGAGCCAGACACCAGGCGATGCGCCAACGAGGAGGTTGTTCCCCGAAGGGGGGTAGACTCGAGACTGCGTGCTAGTAAGGACGCTAGGCTCCGAAGGGGATGGATTTGGTGGGGGTCCCACAATGATCGGGGAAAGGAACGAGTGCTAGCGAGGACGCTGGGCCCTAAAGGGGGGGTGGATTGTGATATTCCACATTGGTTGGGGAGGAGAACGAAACACCCTTTATAAGGGTGTGGAAACCTTTCCCCTAGCAGACGTGTTTTAAAGCTTTGAGGGGAACCTCGAAAGGGAAAGCCCAATTAGGATAATATCTGCTAACGGTGGACCTAGAACGTTACATACACATATGTCATTACTATCTATATTGTTCTTCTGTTTTGCTGCTTCTACAGTTTCATTGAAGCCGACAAAGAACACTGGTGTCCTTCCCCAATTATTTTGATGAAGGATATAGATAGTGCAGACAAATTGGCCATGTCAATTTGGCTGTCACACACAATGAACCACCAAGACATAAGGGAAAGATGGGCTCGGAGATCCGTCGTGGTCGAAGAGGTATTGAAGATCTGTCAAGAGTTCGACATTACACCGACTCTCGTCCCACCACCGTGATCGAACTTCCTCTGCAAGTTGAACAGCTACACACAACAAGGCTTCACTTTCACCCTCTCGGATATATGTTTTTTCCTGCTATGCCTATGCCAAATACATTATACAGATTCACCAATCATCTTTCTGAGGAGAAGACAAGAGACTCATGCTCTATAAACCTATTTCAAATATGACCGTGTTTCGAATCGCGGATAGATCGGTAAACATATTTCGTTACACTAATCGAGAATGTCCGTAGAGACCGAGAAAGTCGAGAGGAAGTGAACTATCTATTAGCAAGAGTTGTTTGACTTTGAGTTTGTTTTTAGTTGAAGATGTTCAAAACATCATTGTACTGATATACTAACGTGTATAATAGATACTTATCCTTTTGTTAGGAACTCAGGTGTTTATATCCATGTCAAATTGTAAAGTGTTTGCAAGAAGGCACTCATGAACTGTGTGTCCTTCATTTTATGTACCTATATGAAACGAGAAGATAATACAGTTACATTATAGAGATATTTTGGAATGTGACTGCCTGATCCTACTGTTAATAGATATTGTGTGCTTTGGTCTTTTACGTATTACCATCAATTTCATAGTTTTAAAACGTGTCATCTGAGAGATGAGGTTTCCACACCTTTGTAAGGGAATGTTTCGTTCTCCTTTCCAACTGATGTGGGAACTTGTAGTAATTGAGATGAATCGTGGAGCTCATCGTTCCTTTTTCCAATTCATGTGGGATCTCACAGTAATTAAGATAGAATCGTAGAATTTTACAATTCATGGAAGGCAGAAAAGACTATTAAAAGCTCAAACAACCTATCTTACGCAACTAATAAATAAAGATCCATTATACTAAACTTTTCAAATAATAAACAAACAAAAAATTGAAAGTAAACATTATATATATATATATATATATATATATATAT